CTGTTTGGCAGCGGTTAGACCCGACGCCTCTCTGTGCTGCGAGTTCACGACCTCCCACGCTTCCTCTTTAGTCCGCCTTAGCTTCACCTCCAAAAAACAGACAAGAAGCAAAAGTCACGTAAAAATCAGGCTGAACTCAAACGTGATGATTGTAATTTTAAAAGTTTAAAAATGTCATTAACTTCAAAACAGATAAACAAAAAAGATATTGTTGAGTAAATTAATCCTAAAATATTTATTTATAAAAAAGGGAAATTCACAGATGAGTCTCTCTCACTCACTCACTCACATGATGGAATTAATTTAAATCCACCAGATTAAATTATTGCAGCGGTGCATCCAGATCTATATCTTTCTCCTTTGTTTGTGGTTGCCATGGTGAATCCAGGTATCGGGTGGAATTGAAACTCAAAGAATTGAGATTTTCTAATTAAAGAGCAAGTCACCCCCTACAAGAAACTTACTTCACTCCCACTTCATGTTTGAAAAATGCAACAAATGCTGTTGCTTGGCAGACCGAGAGGGTGGAGCCGCTAACAAATACACACACACAGGCTCACAATGGCATTATGACATCATAATGTACCAGATGACATCATAGCATACCTCTTAGCCAATAGCGGTGGCAGACTTAAATTCAAATACAGTGCAGAATTTTTCCCTGACGACGGCGCAACACTGACAGTTTTAGGCAGAATATTTGAATTTTAACCAAGATGCACTGAACTGCCAAATTATTGACTACACGTGTCTGCAGCATGATTAGACACTCCTTTATATAGTTTATCAGGAAAAAAAAAAGTGATTTGGGGGTGACTTGCTCTTTAAAAACTTTTCTCTTTGCTCCAGAATCATTTTAAATAGCAGCAGAGTTGCTTTTAGCATCAACATGAATAAGCAAATATTTTCCACGGGACAATGTTTGTTACGTCTTACCTTGACATAAATCGGTGCGTTATTCCTACTGTTTTCCTTCGGGATTTCGCATTCATCACATAAACTCCCTGAGTTTTCAGTTTTGTTTGCAGTCTCGTCTCCGTTGACTTGTCCCAGTTGCTCCGTACTTCTTCCACCCTCAGTCAATTTGTCGTTTCCTCTCCCATCTCCCCGTCTTTCATTGGCAACGCGGTCCCCAGGCTCAGATAATTGTTGGGAAGCGTTTTCTTCCTGAGATCTCAGGGGGCTGCGCTCACCCTCCAGGGAAGCGGATGAAGTGGAAGAGGATGTGAGGTTTGGAACGCTGTCGGAGGGCTGTTGGACTGTCTGGTCATCACCACTGTGGATGGTTGGATGAGGAGTGAAGCGGAGCTCTTTGCTGAGCTGGAGGATTTGAGGTTGAAGAGGCGTTGCCACAGGAGGTGACTGCTCAGGGCTCAGCGCTGTCGTCCCACCGGCTTCTACGGTGCGTGTGCTAACAGACACTAAACTTCCCTCCTTAGCAGAAGGATGGTTCTGAACTTGTGCATCCCTCATTTTGAGGTTTCTGTGCCTAATTCTGGTCTGTTCTGTGTGAAATCCAGTCACAACGCAATTCCCACCTGTCGCGTTTCCGTTTTTACATCCCAGTACAAGGTCTCCAATTCCAAACTGGTGGGCTGCTGCCAGAACTTCATTCTGCTCCTTGATCCCTCTGACCTCCAGCTCCCCGGAGTACAAGAGGCCGACGAGTTTCAGCAACGTCTGAGCCGTCACCGTCTGCAGCTGGAGGCAGCGTTTCTGACCACGTGGAGGAGACGGAGATGCAGACAGCTTCTGGGACAAGTGAGGGCTGAGAGCTGCGAGGACACAGCTGTGGGTCGGGACTGAGATACCTTCATGAAAAGAAGTCAGAGCGAAACCAGTTATTCACGTGTTGATTCTACAACTTTTCTGTTTTATTTGTGGTCTCACCCTCGGCTTGCAGCAGCGTGTCACAGAACAGGGAGCAGTTCTGTTGTCTCTGCAGCTCCCTGAGAAGCTGCACCCCATAGCCAGGCCACCAGAGCTTCTGCATGTCCGAAATAATCACTGAAAGAGAAAATCATACCAGCTCGTAACGGAACATCGGGTATGTTCATGTGGATGCCGTCATCTCAATGTGGACCAAAACCTCAGAGCAACGCTTCCAGCAGAGATCAACATGAATAGTTAAGGCGGTGCTGAAAGCAGCAGGTGCAGCAACAGGTGTGGTGTTCCTAATGAAGTGGATGATGTGTGGTAACTTAACATTAGGGATATAATGTTTTAAAATCCTACTAAAAAAAAGCATTAAAAATGATAAACCTTTAGCTTTAGGAACCAGAAGGATCAGTTCACATCTTCTATAAACCTTTCTTTCTCTGAAATGTTTATTCGTTTGGGGCAAATAAAATTATATTAAGATATAATTTAATAATATGAGCATTAAAGTGGTTTTACTGTCATGACTCACGGAAATCTTTTTTTTTTTTTTTTTTTAGAATTAGTTCCCAGTAATTTCAATAAGACATGGGGATTAAAATGTTTCCTACCTGCTGGTTAAACACAGTTAAGGTCATTTAAACACTGGTTAACCACACTTCACACATTTGCATATTTATATTAGCTTTCAGAGCTGGAAACACTTGTGGGCGACATGTTTGTCCCCCCTTACACAAACGCCTTTTCTCCGAGACTTTTAACGTCTCCGGCTTCGCAGAGACTTTCTTGTGTTTTGATTAAGTTTTTATAAACACAAACAAAACATTTGATTGTTTCATAAACTCCAGTTGATTAAAAATCGACATCTGGATGCTAGCTACTTGAAGCATGGCATGTTTAGCTAACGCGGCTTCACAAAAACTCACCTTCCCTCTTGGGTATCACGTGATTTAGTCCAAGGATCGGTTACTCGTTATTTATTTTACACATTTTTAGTTTTCATATATTAGTTAAACTCTTAAGTTAAAGCGTGCTTTAGTTTTTTTTTAACTTCTCATCTTCCAAGTTTATCGACGAAGTAAAGTGGCCACTAACTTTAGCTGCAGCGCCATCTGGTGGCCACTCAGGAACACGGCAGCAAAAATTGACCGATTTCAAAATAAAACTTTTTCTTGTCTTCATTCTCTAAACTCAATTATTAGTTCGTTGGGCAAATAAACCGATTTGCAGTTATTTTTAAATAATATTCTTTATGTTTCCATCAGATAATTTAATTCTCAGACACAAATAAAATCCACTTTTTCTTTGTGGTCCAGCCACAAGTGGACCTTCAGCAGTTGGTTTCTAGTTACTAACTAAGAAATGCCATGCACATCAGTCATATTTATATTTACAAAACAAAAGGATAGTTTTAGTTCTTTATCGAAGTATTTTCAGTCATCTTTCTCTTTAGGAGTCACCACGGCCAATCATCTGCCTCCATTTAGTCCTGTCTTCTGCATCCTCCATCCTCACATGGCCTCTTTCGCCACATCCATGGATCTCCTTTTGTTATTCCTCTCCAACCTCAGCATGCTTCTACTAATGTAACCCCTGTCTCTCCTTTGGACCTCTCCAACTTTATTTACAGAACATCTATCATTCAGCTGACCCTCTGATGGACTCATTCCTGATCCTCTCCATTCTTCTCACTCCCAAAGAGAACCTCAACCTCTTGAGCTTGGCAACATCCACTTCTGTCTCCATCTGTCTTTTCCTCATAGACAGTCTCTAAACCAGACATGGCTGGTCTCACTGTCTTCTACACCTTTTCTTTCTTTCTTGCTCAATTTGATCACGATAAGCTGAGACTTTTCTCATTCCAACCTGCTTCTTCACCCCTTTTCCACACTCGCTGTTGCTTTGGACCATACACCCAAAGTCCTTTTAAATCTGTTTATCTCCACATGACGAATATTCTCATGGCCTTTATAGATCAAATTTGGTAATGTTGGTTTTCTTTAATGTTCTTAATAGTTTGGTGCTCTGGGAACATCTACATCATCACAGTCCCACCTAGAACCAAGCCACTGATGGTTTCTGGACATCATTGGATTCAGACAGGGTTCTACAAGCTGTGGCTCTTTAACACTGACCAAAATAATTTAGATCTGACAGATTTTTGCGGTCTTCGGGAACAAGTTATTCCTATTATTTCCAGGAGTTCCTGCAGCAGATTCACATTAAGATTACATGAGCTGGCTGAGAGTTTTATCAGATATAAAGACAAAGCTTGGCATAATTTTGGTACCAGAATTAGCTGAAATTACTTCATCTGCTTTTTTTTTGCCTTAACGTTTAAAAGTCACAATACAACAGTTGTGTATAGAAAAAAAAGACACTATTTAAAAAAACAGGGACTTTACAGTTTTGAATTTTTATGCTCGCGATTGCCCCCTCAGGCCAAAAGCGTAATGGCAGCTTCAATAGTAGGCTTGTGCACGAGGCGCGCATGCTGTACGTGCACACTCCTTAACGAAAATAACAGCTGAGACAGTCCTGTGTGTGTGTGTGTGTGTGGCCCGGAGGACAGAGGACAGGAGAACACACAGCTAATTAATTAAATAATTTGGTTCTGTACCTTTCTCTTCAGCACAGCCGACAAAGGTTTATGATGGGTCAGTCCTCCTGCATGCTCAGATCATTCCCTTCCCTTGCTTGAAAAATTGTTCCAAAATGAAAGTTGAACCCACATCTTTTTTATCTGTGAATTCAATGCCGTTCGGCGAGTCTCAAATAAAAATTTGGGCATCTTACTGTAAAAAATATACCATTAATGTAAAAAAGAAAAACCTCTAAATAAACTATGTTCACATCCAGAATCAAACCCAGGTCTTCTGCATGAGAGTTCAACGTCGTACTAGGGGAGCTATGGCACAAGTGACATAATTTGTATCTGTAACATTTATATCCTTGATGACAGCTGAAACAACGTTCAAAGAACGGTTCGGAGTGAAAATGGCTATTTTGTTGCTTATTTGCAGGAAATATCTAGAAGAAAGTTCTACAGAAAGTAGCTAAGGGTCCTCAGAAATGTAGCTAGCTTTGTCACTAGGCGTTAGGAACAGCGACAAAGTGGCACTGCCTCTCTCTCTGCTGCTAAAGCTACGGATAGCAAATGCTACGGGCGATGCCTGAGCGTGAACGCGCATGAAGCAGCCTGCTCGACCCGAGCATCTCTCTTTTTCTGTGATTTTACAGAAAAACAGGCAATCACAGTAAAAATGCCAGGGCTCGTTCTACAGGACCAGGGCATTGCAGGAGAATGTATGAAGAAGAATTTTATTAATTCTATACATGTTTTGGCTGTCAAACTTCCATAATGCCCCTTTAAGAGTAGATCTTGTGGCTTTATCTAAACATGTAGGCGAGATAATGAAAATGTTTATTTTCTACTAATCAGTCACCACAAAAACAGCTTTTCACCGTAACTCAGGTAACGGCACATAATCTTTCACTGGTTCATTACGGTTTTCATTACGGTTTAAAGACAAGATGCTCAGAAATCATTTTCTCTTTTATTACAAACATTATTGCTAGTTACATAATTCAATCATAAATGAGAATGTGCAACATTTTAAGAGCCAAGGCAAAGACATTACGGTGTCGTCCACGATCTGAATTTACGGCTGCTGCTTCGTTTTCTGATGGAAGAATAAAGATGATTTATTCTGCTAACTTGGTTTTGCTTCAACACACAAACTGAACGTTTTAAATCAAAACAAAGACTGATTGCATATGCATTCACCCAGAGAACCCAAAACAATTAACCCCAAATCAATAAAAAATAATAAGAAATACATAAAACTATTAAAATTAACAAATATTCTCTTGTTTATATATAAAGTTTAAATGTGCTTTTATTCACTTTTCCACTTTAGCGAATGACAATCTGCCTCTACAGACTTTCTCCCGCTTTAGGTTTGCTCTTGAAGGCAACGCGTCTTTTTGGGAAAAAGGGTCTTCCTCTGTCATTAATTCATCCGGCATAGAAACAAACAAAAGGTAGACAATAAAACAGAAAAAAAAGCATTAAATGTACCCCCTTGGTGCTGCTTTAAAAAAACCACTCAGTATCTACATCTCGCTCGGCACTGATGTGGGATAATGTTAACGTTCTGTAGTCAGGCAGCCTCCGAGTTCGCAAAGCAGGAAAACAAACAAAAACATTTTTAAGCTGTAAAAAAAATAATAATAATGGTTTTCAAGAATGAGGCTCTTCCAGAACTTTTCCAAACACGTTCGCTGCAGTGAGGATGAACTCATCAGATCCATCCTGAATAAGCAAGGAGGCACTCCAGTTAACCCACTGTTACAGCTTTTTTTTTAAACACACATTCATCTTGTTAAAAACCAGCAAAAATACTCAAAAGTACCCGCTGAGTCTTCCGATGTCTCCCAAACTCGACCTTAAAACTGACCGTTTGTCCAACAGGAATCATTCTGGGTGCAGAGAAGTCCGTTATTCCGACGCTGCAGCAGCAGCAGCGCGACGACGCTGGAGCGGCTCGTCTGCATCCGTTACGGTCGTTTGGCACGATAGTGATGATACAGAGCAAAGCAAGTAGAGGCAACAATAAGATAAACAATCGCTCTCAGGGACAGAAACCAACCATTTACAAGAAGAAGCATTTCTTATCAACATGAATGTAAGTTTTCTGCAGAAAGTGTCCCGTTCTGATCCCAAAGATTAGCTGGTTAAAGTCTAAAGACGTGTTTAAGTTCCTTAAATAAGGTCCGGTGTCTCTGATGAGGGTCCCCGTCTTCCTGGTGATGCAGCAAGACGTCTGACATGAGTGGTTATGCTGAGCGGGAGTGGTCATGGAGTCACAAACAGCCGTCCACAGGAAAGTTTCCATCCACTGCGTTGCTTTGGAGTGGTTTCATTCATTCGTTCATTAGTTCTGCTGCAAAGGAGGAATGTAACAGAGACAGGAGGGGAAAGAGAAGCTGTGGAGGGTGGAGGAGATAAATGCTGGGAGTCGGATCCCGGCGGTAGCGTCGTGGTCCCCGATCGTCAGCTCAGCAAGGGCAGTAAGTGGGAGGAGGCGGTCGTCTTGTGAGGCAAACGATCAGTTTTTCTGCAAGAAAAGAGTCAGGAGTGTGGGAAGCGGTGGTGTGAGGCAGCTGAGAGGTGCTCATGCCTTCAAAACACACTCAAGGTAAGTACACAGGAGAGTACTACAGCATAGTGGGCCCAATGTAGATTAAAAATATTAGAGAGATGGGAGGACGGGGGGTTCCAAGAAGAATGAAACGCCAGATTTAAAAACTTTCATTTTCTGATTTTGCAACGTCCCACTCGTTGGAGTAAGGCCCGCTGCTCACGAGTCCATGGTTCATGGTTGGGAAGAAATAAGCCGTCTTAAATTTTTCAGAACAAAAGATTAAAGGGAACGTTTGAGATTCCAGCTGTAAAGTTACAGGACGCTCTCTAAAGGTGTAGGTGGTGAATCTACAGGAACTAAAACCCAAAAGGAAAACGATTAAGAGTTCAAATCCATTTAAATCCAACTTCATTCCTCTAAACTGGGAATGAGGAGTTGGTGAGTGATGGTAGAGCAGCAGACAGACTGATGGACCACGCCTTCAGCCGCAGTAATGACGGCGGCGCTCCGGCTAAGCTTCACTGCTCCGGCTGCATTCCAACCCTCGTCTACGAACGGGAGACGTGGATCGCAGCTGAAAGAACGAGACGCCAGAGAAAAGTGGTTTCAAAGGGTGGCCGGACTCAGCCGAGCGCCTCGTTTACACCGAGTACGGAACTTACGCGATGCGGTTTCCGGACAGACGGCACGTCGAGTCGCCGACTGGAAATTTGCTCCCACAAGAGCACAAAATTGGACTAAACAGATTTAAAGATATAATAGTAAAATACCGAAGTCCTTAAAACAGGTTTTATTTTGAAATATACTGGATACACCTCACTTAAACTTAAACTCGGACCCTGACGTGCAAATATGGCGCGCCGCTGTTGGACGTAATCCAGCACGCCCTGAGGGAGTCCACTCGTCCCGCACACCGTGCAGTTTGCTTTTGCAGATTTTCCCTTAAAGTCAGGAAGACCGGGACAACTCAAAGCCCCCACGACAACACCAAGCTAACACAGCTGCATTTGGCTAAATAATAAAAATAAAATGCATAACCCCCCCCCCCCACTGTCCTAACGGGCGTGACCCCGCGAGGAAAGCTGACCACTGAGCAGGATTGATGGTTTAACCCTTGGGTCCACGTGGCAGGGGGTGAGGTGGTGCTCACTCCTCACCCCCTGCCACGTGGACCTCAAGGGACAAACCATCAATCCTGCTCAGTGGTCAGCTTTCCTGACGGGGTCACCCATGAAGACAGTGGGAGGGTTAAAGTAAATAAAAATAAATACTTGATATGTAATCTGGAACTGGAAGTTGTGGTAATTGAATCTGAGCTCTAATCTAATAAGCTAAAATTAGCACAGGCTACATGCTAGCTATGACAATCGTAATTTCCCTGTTTTCGGGTAAAAAACGCAACAAGTGGAGGGTGAATTTGTACATTAGACTGGATGACTTGGCCTGTAGGACCATAGCGACTTTATGCCGACTCAACTTGGACTGATCATATGGAACTCAAACACTAAGGAGTCGAGTGTGACCTGGACTGGAGAGACGGTGACTTGACCACAACGCAGCTGGGAGGAGACGCCCAGCAAGAGCCAGCCATTAGAAATCCTCGCACTGGGATCCCCCAGAGGAGGCTGGGAAGTTCGCTACCTGTACGACCCGACAGGGACACGCGCGTCTTGGTGGCGTACCGTCTTTAACGGATGTACACTTCAATTTATGGAAACTTTAACCTTAAATATTTTAATCTTTCTGGGATTTTTCTTGGAATTCTCCAACCTCCGTTTATCTTTATATTTTTAAATCTAGGATGGATCTAATATACCGATGCAGCGACATCAACACATACTATAAAAACCAATACTGGTATTTTTAGCCAGCAGGGGGAGCAAAAACATAATCCGATACAACTAAAGTCCCAAAACACACAGAGTTGTTAATGCACTACCGAGCTGTTAGGTCATGCGGTGAGTGGAGCGGGGAAGCTGGAGGGACACACATACCATGCTCTGACATGCAGTGTGACAGTGGGTGTGGCCTAACCATCGTAAGAATCCATCAGAGGCAAGGAAGCCTGCCTCTCCCCATACATCCCTCCCTGGGAGGAAACAAAAAGACAACATGGGGAGTGTTTGATAGTTTTTAAAAGACAAAAGCGACAGGGTGACACAGGAAGAAAAAAGGAGGGAAAAAAAACAGAACATTTTTAAAAAGTGCAAAGAAGAAAGACACCTGATGGGAAAAGAGCTGTTAGTTCGTGTTTCAGGGCAGAAATGACGTGTGAGATACAGATCAACCACTCGGCTTCAACAAGACGTGTAGCAACATGCTGTCTGTGGGTGTGAGAACATTCACAACAACATTCCCAGAGCTCACATTCAGCCTGTCTGCCCAGGAGTTCATCGTTTCCACAAAATCCCAGCTTTTTCTGGTAAAGCTCAGCCAGGTGTGCAAAATTTAGCCTCTCCTGAATTAGGTGGACATATCTGAACTGTGTTGCAGCAGCAGCAGCAGCATCATGACCGACAGTCCTAAACCCCAAACTTCCTCTCATGTTAATGTGAATTTGATGTTTCCACTCTCAAAACCTGTGTTGGGTTTAGGAGAGTCTTCAGCAGAGCTCTAGTTTTAACTCATGTGGTGGCTGTCATGGAGGGCCAGCGTCTACCTGAACTGAATCCTTGTCAGAAGACTCATGAGTGTTGTTCCGGTCCAGTGTGGTGTAGGCGTCTGGAAGGGAAGCAGAAACAAAGTGAACCACGTTAGCTTTGTAACCAAGTCAGCTCACAAAGATGCTCATTTTTAAAAACAAAAATAATTTCATCTAGTTCCTTTAAACTAAAGCAGAAATCCAGACAGGCGATGATTTATTTCTGCACCTTCTCCCCTCGTTTAGCAGGATCCTTCTCAGCAAAGTTCCTGAATCAGCTTGGGAGGAAAACGACTGCAGCAGAGAAGAGGGGGATGTGCGTGCGTTTGATCGCTGCGTGCATTATGCATGAAACCCTTCAGTTAATGCCAGTTAACTTCCTCTCTTCATGGTCGGACTCACTATTGTCTCGATGACGCATCTCTCTGAAAGCGTCGGATGATGCTTCCTGTCCTAAAAGGCCACGTTCACTCATTTTGTCAATAAATCTGATGTGGTCTTCCAGTAACGATACGCTAAAATCATATTCGGCTCGGTGTTCTGAAGAGCTCGGTTCGATAACTTCTTGGTATGTTATTATTATATTTATTATCTAAAGCGGCTCCTATAGTGAGCAGGACCAGGTGTCACCACAGGCTGCTGATCTAACACGACGTCTTTATTTCACAGGTTATTAGTGCAGCTGAGTGTCACACTCACACAGACAAGTGTTGTGTTTGACTGTTGATGCTCCTGCTTTTATTTCTGCAGCGAGCCTTAAAAACTCACCTCACACCTCCCAGAGGTTATTTAAAACTCACATTAAATAACGAGTGTAAACGGCTGCAGGCAGGTGGATTGTCAACGTCCTTCACCAAACTGTATATAAGTGGGCGTTAACCCGGGGGTGGATGTGGCGTTCCACCTGGCTTGGCGTGTTGCAGCCGAACAAACTTCCACCTAAGTTAAGGTATATTGCTCATAATCGATTAATCAGAACTAGGGTTGTCACGGTATGAAAATTTAACCTCACGGTTATTGTGACCAAAATTATCACGGTTTTCAGTATTATCGCGGTATTTTTTAAACGTTACATTTTCAAAATAAACCCTGTAAATCAGGAAATATTGTCCTCAGTTTGTGTCTAAATTTAGTCTAAAATGTGTTATTTTGTAATTATGTTGTTTATTTGTTTACATTTTTTCCCTTTAGTCTTTAAAATACCAATATTTGCCCATAACTTCTTATTTTTTGTCTGTTTGATGTCATCATTTTAAAAATATTAGATCAGATGATACTCAGTACTCAAGTAGCCTTCTAATCAGATACTTTTTTACCCTTACTTGAGTAATAAACCATATATCAGGAAAATATTGTCCTCGGTTTGTGTCCTTCCAGTGAGCTTTGCAGATGTGGGAAAATGTCATCAGGCAGTAATCGTTGTTAAATTCATAATTATTCTCGGAGAGAGACCAACTCTTATCTGCCCCTGGGAGCCCCGTAATGCATAGCGTCATTTCAACATGGCGGTGTCCGCGACACGGTTTATATGCAGGTAGCGGCGCTGCGGCTGCTTTATATAGCGACTCGTTGCGTTCTCCCTCAACCCAAATCCTCGGATCACGCATTTTAGCTAAAACGCTAACGTTAGCTTGCCTTGCATTGACTGTAGAGTTGTGGGTGATGGTCACGCAGATGTGTCATGAGATTTGAAGCGTTGCTGCCTTTCACAGACACTTTTTCTGCACGTGCTGCAAACAGGATAGCCATCTTCTATCAGCTGTCCCTCGACATTCTTCAGATATCCAAAAGATGCCCGTACTTCCCACTTTGTCTTCTTTGAGGGATACAAAATGTCCTGAGCGCCGCTGTCTCCTCCTTTGGCCATTATTTCAGCTTTTGCTTCAAGAAAGTTTTGGTTGTAAACAATAAAGTGCGCATGTGCCGCCGGCAACTTCAGCAGATGATACGGTGGCTGGTAAGGGTCACCGTGCCTACACCGCAGCCACGGTAATCCACTGACATAATATATATTTTTTAAAACAAGACTATTATTTTTGTCAATTTTTTACCGGGGTTTACCGCTACACCGGTTACCGTGACAACCCTAAAATGCTTTGTACGTCTAGTCTACGGCCTTGCTGTGCCAAGCCTTTGCATGACGTTTCCTTGACTGCAACCTGTGGCAAGAGGAGCAAGGCATCTGTTTTTCTTTTCTTTGTTGCTCCAGACGTTCGTCAGGAATTGGATTCAATATTTGTAAATTATATATTTTCAGGTTTCGCGGTGTTTTGCACCAGGCGCTCAGTGCTTGGTGATGTATGATGCATCTACTGCCACTTGCAAATAAAAGGTTGCACCCGTCGAAGCTCTCCTTTTTTTTCTTGGATGCCACGGGGCAGCAATAACGAGCATCCTCTGTGCCGTATTTTCGTTGTAGGATGAAAACTTTACATCAGTTGTCCCAGGGGGAAAGTTTCTGCCGCTGCGTGCCGGCACAGTGCGAGAAAGGGAGGGAGGGAGGGGCGAAGCGACGCTCCGTTCAGTGCCTCTACGGCTCCAGCAGCAGCGGCAGAAAGCTGGTTTGATCCGCTCTGAAATACGTTGATCAGAATTTGCAGATTACATTTTTTAAGCGGCGATCGGGCGCGTACAGCCGTCGTGTGTCACTCAATACAGCGTCCATGCGGAAACTCGCCTAGGAACTTTTATCCGCTGCATTTAAATCACACAAATAATTTATTTAACAAAAAAAATGCAACAGTACGCAACTCCCCCCTCAGAAGATATGTGGAATGTGCCGTCGCTATGGCAACTCAACTATGTCTCCTTTCCCAGCCTGGGCGGGACTGCAAAAGGCCGCTGAAATGTCCAGGGTCACTGCAACCCTCCAACCCTCAATGCTCCTCCCCCTATCCACACTGAGGTGACATGTGCTGCTTATCGTGGTTGCAGGAACTGAAGTGGGGATAGTCCCAACCCACCACCCCACCTAGTGGACACTTATGTTGTCTGAAGTCTGTTGCATATCTGTCTGAGGTGGGTTTTTTTTTGCAGAGCAAAGCTGCCCTCCTGGTGGGAGGGTAACTCTGAAGTGCCTTTTTTCCCTCCACCTGAACCAATCCTCATGTAACCATCTTATCTCTATTAAGGTAGCGCAACTCAGGGTTGCGAATGACCACAGTCACCAATTCTTGTCATGTGTCTTGGCCATGTATGTCTGATCTCTGAATTGTGTGTACTGAAACTCAAATTTCCCTCTGGGATTAATAAAGCATCTTTGATTTGATAAGCTGTCTTTTTCCACTTGCCTGGTCCCATATCATTCATTGGAATCATGTCCCGGTCACCTTTGTTGCCTGTGGGTGTGAAAGAATAAAAGACGATGTGTACAGATGTGTAAAGATTGACAATCTGAGCATAAAAGAAAGCAGCAGCACAACCCCACCTTTGTCTATAAGTGGGAGGGTGCTCTCCTCATATCCTCCAAGGGGCCTGTTGCTGTTATCGACAGGTTTCACTTCCACCAGGATGTCCTCCTTCTTCCAGCCGTCCTTCTGCAGAGCCCGACGGATCTCCTTATGGGCCCAGAGGGTCTTCAGAATCAGAACGGCTCCACGGACTTCCCGCTCCGACCGGTTACTGGTTACCGCATAAAAGGAGAGAGAGAAAAACCAAAGATCAGACTAACTGGACGTAGCACGGAAAAAAGGTGTGCTCGTGTGGATTAGCCCCCACCCGTCCTTATGGATGAGAACCAGTCTCTCGACTCCTTGCGAGGTCCTGAAGATTCTGGCTGCATCGATGTTGGTGCCCAGCACCTCGTGGAGCGTGCTCAGTATAGACACAACCGTCTCTTCCGACAGCGCTCGCACCGGCTGACTCTGACCACCGCCTGGTAGATTCGCCACCAGCTGAGCTACCGAATGTTGACCTGACGGAAAACACATGGCGTCCTGTTACAAACCAACCTGATGAATCCTGAGTAAAACGAGTTCCTGAAGCCTCACCTTCTAGTTCCCTGTTACGGGCGTCTAGGGCAAGGTTACGGAGGGCTCCGGACATGGCTCGGACTACTCGGTCATTTTCGTGGTTCAGCAGCTCGGTTATCATAGACAGGCCCTTTTCTTTGCGCACCAAACCCCGGATGCATCGTCCATACTGAACAACACAAACAAACAAGATGAAGCGTTAGCCTTGGACTGGATAATATCTCAAGATTTTAAAAAGTATCAGAATCAGAATCAGAAAAGGTTTATTGCCATTGTTAGTGAACAAACGATTCACAAACTAGGAACTTGCTTCGGTACTAACGTGCTACATATAACATGAATAATATAATTAAAAAATAGAATAAAGTAGAATAAAATATAATAACTAGCATAAAACTTTGCTATAAAAAATGGCAGGTAAAGGTAATATGGCCGATAACGTAACGTTATGTCAAGTACAGCAGACGAACATGGTTGTGTGTTTATAAGCTGTTCACAAGTCTAACGGCAGATGGAAAGACGCTGTTCTTATGGCGAGAGGTTCTGGTCCGGATGGACCGTAACCTCCTGCCCGAGGGAAGCGGCTCAAAAAGTCTGTGACTCGGGTGAGAAGGGTCAGCTGCTATCCGACCTGCATGCCCACGAGTTCTGGAGACGTACAGGTCCTGGAGAGATGGAAGGCTATAATTTCCAACAAGGCACTTATGGGCCATTCCCATCTGTACCGGGTCGGCCCGGGCCGGGTAGCCCCAGTTGGCCCCAGCCTGGCCCGGTTGATTCCACACATCCTTGTCTTAAGCCCATGTGGGCTGATTCTACCCACCAATCAGAGGCTTGCTCTAATGGAAGGTGTGAATTTGCTGTCAGCAGTGGGTGTGTTGGCCCTGGTCGGCCTGAAGCAGACCCCCTCGAGAAGAGGGCTGAGAATGAGCCTTGGTTGGCCCGGAAAAATACCAGGCCACCCAGATATGTAAACAACCTACGCTACCCGGCCCGGGCCGACCCGGTACAGATGGGAATGGCCCATAAATGACCCAGGCAGGTTCATAATGGGGCTGCATGACCATTTTTTTTAAAGTCGACCGTCAAGTAATGAAAATCCAGTCGACTTCGACTAGTTGTTGACGTCATACACCTGAAGCAGCTAAAACTGATGATGGGTGACCAAGCATTTTATTTCCGACGCAGTGGGTGGGGTGGGGGGTGTGGAGTTTTGACAATTAAAGTTGAGCCCACATTTTCTAAGTTAAACACCGACGCACCGGCGCATGTATCTGGCTCATTAGAGCGACACCCGCGTCGGTGTGCGTATCGTTTAGGAAGTAGTTGCGTGACCGATACAGCAGTAAAGCGTTGAACTGCGTTTAAACGCAGGCGCGTCGCCCTCCGTCAACCAGATGCGTTTCTGCCACAAGTACAACTTTTGAAGCAAAACTATTCCACCGTTACGTGAAGGAGCCAGAGAGAAAATGCAAGGTGGTTCATGAGGGATCATTTCGTTTCTACTGACCCTTTGCACGTGACGTCGCGCCACTCATGGGACCGCCCCATTCGTCGCGATGGACGGCAAAAAGACCGTTTACACACGTTGAAACTCCGGTGAAGTTTGTAGCCTTTTATCGCTTTTATTTAGTTGGTTTCACAGCAAAATGGTAACAGCTTCTCAACTCGGTTTTTTTCTTCTCCAAAATAACGTTGATGGAGACCGAGGACGGAGACGAACTGCAGCGATCAGTCAATCGGACTAGCAGCCCTCAGGTTTACAGCGAACGTGTTTTTACCGGGTAAGGTTAACGTTTATTTAGGGACAAATGTGATGCGTTCTTCTGATGGATGGATATTCCACCATGGGGTACCTCGGTACCGTCCACTGAAGTGAAACGCGAGATAATTAATTACAATATTGCTCCAATGTAGGATTACGTGTGTTAAAATTAGGTTATTTACTATGAGCGTCACAGTCGAGAGATCCTGTCATCGTGGTGTGAGAGCAGCAGCTGAACACGCGGTGACACCACCAGCAACAGAAACCAGTAGGGGTCCGGACTTTTTCAGCTTCGGTGTAAAGTGAAACGTTGTTTATAACATGTTATAAATCAAGTCGGGTGAATTTAGCCAAAGTAGACAGCTTGTTTGCATCGGTGAACAGCTGCAGAGAGAACTTAAGCTAACGTTCGAAAGCTAGTTAACAACACGTAACTTTTGTAAATACCGCTCTCCATGAGCTTCATGTAGGTGTGCTACTTCTTCTGATAACTGAACACGAGCTTGAACTAGTAGAGGGAACGCTAAAGATCGCAAAAACTATTTCAGGCTCTACTTTTCCCTTTGTTTAGTAAAGTTAAAGTCCCTTTAGTTGTCACACACACAGGTGTGTGTGCGAAATTTATTCTCTGCATTTGACCCATCCCCTGGGGGAGCGGTGAGCTGCAGACACGGCCGCGCTCGGGAACTATTTGGTGGTTTAACCCCCCAATCCAACCCCTTAATGCTGAGTGTCAAGCAGGGAGGCATTGGGTCCCATTTTTTCAAAGTCTTTGGTATGACCCGACCAGGAATCGAACCCTGATCTCCCAGTCTCAGGGCGGACACTCTACCACTAGGCCACTGAGAAAGGTCGCTCACTGTTTACGTGCTTTTGCCGTCCAGTATGGCGGACCCACGTGATTAGGTGACGTTGGTGCAAAGGGTCAATACCAGAAAATGAGTTATTTGTTTTTATGTCCTTGTTTCATCCTGTTCCTCTCAGTTTCTGCTTGATCCATCAGATGTTTTTAAAAAAATCATTCAAACTATTTTAGGCAAGTTAAACGTCACATTTGCTAAACTGAACTTGCATACATTAATAAAAGAATGACGTCAATGCTGAGACATCGCAGAAAAACGCGTGGGAATGTGGCCGTCAGAGTGGTGGGGTGGGAGTGAGGGGTGCGGACCGGACCGGCCCGGATAACCGGCTCACCGGGACATGATGCCAGTAAAATCTTGCTATTAGGTTTGCTTGCAGTGATGTTTATACTCCAGCAGGGGTCAGTAGACCAACATGGTGACACATCGATACAGTTTGGGTGATGTACTGAAACACCTCATCTACCCATCACTACACAGCAGGGATTTGAACCTGCAGCCTTCTCGCTATGAGGCAACCGTGCCACTAACTGCACCAGCATGCAGCAGAAATTATTTCACCTGGTCAGATCCAGAAGTTAAAACTCATACATCTGTCTCGATCAGCTGGACGATGTAAACATTGACCTGAACAGACTTTTATTTTATATTTGAAGGTTTTATGAAAAAGGTTGAAAAACGCATCACAGCAGGAACGCGTTCGGTTTTTCAGCATTGCTCGGCTAGAATACACGACGATGTGAGCTAAAATAAGAAGATAGTAGCAGCAGGTCTTACAGTCCAGTTCCCAGCACACAGGTTCTGAATCGCTCCAGCTGACGCTTCCAGGACATGCGGGTTCTTGGCCTCCTTCAGCAGCGACAGGTAGACGTGGACCACCTCTGGCTGGAACAGCAGCTCATAGCCTACAACAACAGGAGGGGTGAGCAGCAGCAGGAGTACAAAGCATAAAGACAAAGACAGCTGCTACTGGTTAACCCCTTAAGGGCAAACGCTTGTTTACTCTTGAGCATGACCATGTAAAAACCACAACAGAGCTGATGTTTACCTTTAGCAGGTGTGGACCTCACTGGAATATCGACTTGATCCTGAGAAGGATCTTCGCCTTTCTTCCCTAGAAGAAAATCACAGCGTTGAAATCCCAAAACACAACTAAACGTGTGTGAGTGCTTCCTCAGGTGTTAGTCTGGTTTAGTCACACATGCATAAAAACACATCTCCACTCAGGTGACTTTTACACGGAAAAGATGCATGTTAGGACCGGAGTTACCCCCCACCTCTGACGTTAGACCGGCCTGCAGCTTCAGCTAGGACCAGAGCAGGCAGAAAGCAGAACTTAGAACCTTACCTTTAGAAAACCACTCGTCTGCAGCCGAGCCCGGCAGTGGAGGAGAAAATGGAAGAGAGAGAGGACAAAAAAGACAGATGAGGAGGGAAAGAGAAGCAGAAGAGGAGGAAGCATTAAAGCAAAAGGAAATCAGCCACCGCTGATCCCAACGGCACCAAAAAGGTAAAAGAAAACCAAATAAACAAAAACAAACTGCGCGTGGAGGGAAACAGCAGCGTACTCTACACAGAGAACTTTAGGTTTTATTGAGCATATTTAAGAAAACATGTACTAAAACCGTTTTAGTACATGTTTTCTTAAATATGCTCAATTAAAAAAAAACAGCAAAAAAAGCATTAAAGCTGGATATAGGGAGTCCACAAACCAAATTTTGTAGGATCAGCCATGTTAAAATTTAAGGACATTAAAATCTTAAAACTTTAGAAATGAAGCGGTGAAAAAGAAGGTTCCAATGTGTATTTTAAGTATGTTTAAAGTAAGAGATGGAAAATATGATTTGAGGGGGTCTTAAATGTTTGAAATACCTAAAGTGAGAACTAATGCCAAGTATAGATGTGTCGGTTTTGGGAGTGAAGTTATGGAATGGACTTAATGATGAACTGAAGATGTGTTATTCGTTGTCATTTTCCAGGAAAATTTTAAAAATTTGAATCTTCCAAAGTTATAGAAACTTAGTGTGATGTCTAACCTTGTGTTGATGTGATTTCTTGATTTATCATTGCTTTTTCTTTAAATGTTATGCATCTTAGCTATCAGCTTTGGTTAAGGATTTGATCATCTCTGTGGGAGTTGATAGGCTAATTATAAGCCACTAGGCTTCAACCTATTCCTTTTTTCGGTTGCTTGATTACTTTTACGTAAAATTGATAAATTGTTGTTGTTGACCGAATAAAAATATCTATCTATCTATCTATCTATCTATCTATCTATCTATCTATCTATCTATCTATCTATCTATCTATCTATCTATCTATCTATCTATACCTATCTATCTATCTATCTATCTATCTATCTATACCTATACGTCTATCTATCTATCTATCTATCTATATCTATACCTATCTATCTATCTATCTATCTATCTATCTATCTATATCTATCTATACCTATCTATCTATCTATACCTATCTATCTATCTATCTATACCTATCTATCTATCTATCTATCTATCTATACCTATCTATCTATCTATACCTATCTATCTATCTATCTATCTATCTATACCTATACCTATCTATCTATCTATACCTATCTATCTATCTATACCTATCTATCTATCTATCTATCTATCTATCTATCTATCTATACCTATACCTATCTATCTATCTATCTATCTATACCTATCTATCTATCTATCTATCTATCTATCTATCTATACCTATACCTATCTGTCTATCCCAGCTCAGTGGCCTAGTGGTAGAGTGTCCGCCCTGAGACTGGGAGATCAGGGTTCGATTCCAGGTCGGGTCATACCAAAGACTCTGAAAAAATGGGACCCAATGCCTCCCTGCTTGACACTCAGCATTAAGGGGTTGGATTGGGGGGTTAAACCACCAAATGGTTCCCGAGCGTGGCTGTGTCTGCAGCTCACCGCTCCCCCAGGGGATGGGTCAAATGCGGAGAACAAATTTCGCACACACATCAGTGTGTGTGACAACTAATGGGACTTTAACTTTAATCTATACATATACATCTATCTATCTATCTATCTATCTATCTATAATTATCATATGACCTTCACCCAATTTCAGTCACCAGAATGAAGAGCGCGAACAGGCTAATGGCTAATCTAAGCGTTAGCTTCATCGATGTTTCAGCCAGAAAAGTAAAACTCTGCTTTGGGCTTGAAACATTAACAGAAGACGATGAAACCAAACAGAAAAAGCTTTAAAATTAAGCAGCAGTTTCTCGTGCTAACCTCTATTCACTTAAGACAAAACGCAGGAGAAGACGAGCAGCAGAGAAGCTTTCGCTTCGTGGAGCTGAAACACAACCTACGGTACGCCATGTCGCTTTAATAAGCGGAGTCAAATAAACTAAACCTGCACGGAGCCACGTCCGAAACAAGAATCGTTACAAAGTGGTTGGAATGGCAGAAGAGAAAAATGTAAGTACTGAATAATTAATGATGCACCACCAGCCGTTACTTCCTATTTGCTGTGAGCGCTGCTGTAAACGATCATTCCTCCGTGTCATAGAGGTAAACCAAGCAGCAACACCTTCTGTGAAGCCACGGTATCCAGTTTAGAGGAATGTTATGGTTTAAGAGTCAACCGCTTCATCCTAATCAGGGCATTTTTTATTCAACTAAACAGTGGCAGCACCAGGGTGGGCGCTAGGGGGCGCTATAGCAACCCCTGGATTAGTCATTACACCCCCAAGTATTTTTTTTTTACAATTTAATTTTAATTTAACGTGTGGATGTGATAATATTTAACATACAAAACAAAAATAATCAGTAAAGTATAATATAGATAGTAAAAACTTAAACCAAAACAGGAAAGTGATGTTAACCTTTGACCTCATTTTCCACCTGTGAACGAGTGAAAGGTAGAGCTAGTGGTAAAATGGATCGGTTTTTGTTGCCCACATTTCCACGGGTTCAGTCAGAAACGACGTGATCTCAGGCCCTGTCCACACGTAGCCGGGGATCTGCCAAAACGTAGATATTTTTCTACGTTTTGGCCTGTCATCCACATGAAAACAGAGTTTTTTCACACGAAAACGGATCTTTTTAAAAACTCCGGCCAAAGTGAAGATCTGCGTTTTCTCCGTTTTGGGTGTCTGCGTGTGGACAGACAAAACCGGAGTTTTAAGGTCCGCAACGTCACTTTCCGCGACAAAAAAATGCTGACATCACGTGTGCGACCTGTGTTTACACTAGCCGACAGCATGGATGCCCTCAGAGCTGCGCTCGCTTTATCAATTGTCCAAGCGCTTTCTGCTTGTTTGGTTTTGCAAGCGGAATTACTGCTCCTTGCGGAAGACCACAGACGAAGGACGAGGTTAAGAACGGGGGAAGTACTGCCGCCTACAGGTCTGGCATGTCCTTAACAACGTATTTATCCGGGTACATGTGGACAGAGTTTCTTTTTAAAACGAGGTGGTGTGGATGCAAGTTTCTGGAGGGTCGGATATTCGTTTTTAAAAAAACCCGGCTACGTGTGGACTAGGGCTCAGACCCACAGAAACCTACGGATCTGGATGAAGAGAGTCAACCCTCAACCGCCGCAGCAGTCCAGGGTTTTGCCGCTGGAAATGCTAACGCTAACGTTAGCTAACCTTGCAAAACTATAGATGGTTTTCTGTGTGGCTGTATGTGTTTATGATTTCATGGAAAAGTCAGCGATTGTTCATATGTTTATGATGTATATTAATGATTGTTTCAGGTTTTGTTGAGGTGTTGTGCACGCATGTGTATCTGCTAGTGTTGAAGATGTTTTAGAGAACAACAGGTACGCATGACCACTTCCTTCATAGCACCCTCAATAAAAAGACTAGCTCCTTCATAGCACCTGCAGAAAAACATTTCTGGAGCCGCCACTGCAACTAAACATAAAAGAAGTTCATAATTTGAAAATGCATCTGCAAAATAACTAAGTTAAGGTGTAAAAACTGATGTGTGACATATTCATGTAACGTTCAAGCTTTTTCTGGACCCGACATGCAGCCCTCCACCAATCAAATGTCCTCATGGGGATATGGGTTACGACCATTGCCATATATACTGGACAATTTGTGTTCATAGGCTCCAATTATACGTTTTTGAGCCAAAATGGGAGGTGGCCACCACCGCCATTTTGACCGTGTCACAGGTTCCGTCAAACCCAGACAATTCCAAAAATGAAGGAAGAGAGGTGGAGTTGAGGGTGGGGCTGTAAGGCTGGGATCAAATGACGACACCCGTCGAACTGAAGCGATGTAGCTGCAAGCTAACACAAAGCTAGCGCGGAGGTGGGAGCTAAGCTAACGGAGGTAGCTACGTAGCTACAACTGGAGTTTGCTGTGCACAACACCGGAGCTTCTGAGTCAGAGATGCGCCGGGCTGACCGCTGGGGAGGACCGGGTGGAACACAGAGGTTTCCCTTTACCTGTTGATCAAGTTAAGGTGTCGATCCAAAGGTCACACATCAGGGTCGGTGAAGTAAAGGCTTGAAGCTAATGTGAGGATGCAAACAGGAATTATGTTGAAAACATTGAAAGACGCATCTGAAGGAAACCTTCCCCGTGTCAACAGTTATGGCTGTATCCCCGGTTGTCATACAATCACAACAATTGTTGCTTTATAATAATGTATAATACGTAAAAGTACCGTATTTTCCAGAGTATAAGTCGCACCAGCCATAAAATGTATAATGAAGAAGAAAAAAAACATATACAAGTCACACTGGACTATAAGTTGCATTTTGGGGGGAAATTTTATTATTTTTCTAACAAAATCTGAGACCAAGCGTTTCACATTGCAAGACAAGTACCGGTAACAATAACAGAACAAACAATCAGGGCATAGCCGCGCGCCACGGTCTCCAGCAGAGGATGGTGGTGTTTGAAACCCTCCCAGCGGGACAGGGGAGCTCATTCCTGGGCCGGAGCAGGCCCGCAGCAGCGCGGTATACATACTTTGGTATATAAGTCGCAGGACCAGCCAGACTATGAAAAAAAGTGCGACTTATAGTCCGGAAAATACGGTAAATAGAGTGTTGCAAAAACGATTAACGTCCAATCTGCCTCCTGAGATCATGCGTCCACATACAAGGACATCGGCTTCTTGCATTATAAAATTTTATTCTCTTCAACTTAGAACTTTGTTTTATTATTTACAGATACTTGATATTGACTTTAGGTTCTAAAATTTCTCTTTTATTTTCTGTTTTTTAAAGGAAATGCGCGGGTCGTTTTATGAATGGTCTAGCTGAATCAGCCGTTTAGGTGAGAAACATCACAAACCTGCAGTCAGGAAGACAAAGCAAGTCAATACTCGGTGAAAGATCAACAGCAGCTGAGCAGGGGATGAAGCATTCCTGCGGCTGCTTTTGTTTGTACAAGTGTGTGTGAGATTGTGTGTGTTAGTATCAGTCCAGAGTTGTGGGTGAAAGCACTCAGCGACACAAACCTTTGGCCTTGCGGGAGCCGAAGCAGCTGCCCTTCTGGCCGGTGGGGGCGGCGCCCCTGCTGTTGTGCGTGGTGTCCACGTATCGCTCAGCGTTGGGGATTTCGTTGTACAGGTGATAAGACAAGTTCCTCAGCAGACAAACACAGTTCTCCACCAGCTGCAAAACGTAGTGCAGCAAAGGAAAATCAGTTCATCCAATTTTTATTCCACAAGCTGCTCTTTGAGTTGAAAACTCTGAACTAAGCTGAAGTTATTTCACACTTTAAAGGATTTCAACTGTTCTTCTGTGCATTTCTGCCTTAGAGTGGCTTCTGATGGGAGAAATCGAGTTTACTTCTAACAGAGCTGACGAGCTAACAGTCCCAAAAATGATCTGATGCAGTCTTGTAAGAGCGACATTCCGCTCCTATTAGGGACATTTATAAATGACCTGCACCTTCTAGAGTCCGGGACTACAAGGCGCTTTACACTACAGTGCATCACTCATCCATTCACACGCTGGTGGTGATGAGCTACGATGTAGCCACAGCTGCCCTGGGGCGCACTGGCAGGGGTGAGGCTGCCGAGCGCAGGCGCCACCGGTCCCTCCAACCACCACCAGCAGCCAGGAAGTGTCTTGCTCAAGGACACTACAGCAGAATTCTGTTGGGAGCCAGGATTGAACCTAAAACCTTCTGATTGCTGGACAAGCTGCTCTACTCGGTGTCTGCCACTAGATATATTCGGCTCTCGTTTTGTTTTTCTGAGGTGGATTGGTGGTGTTGTTGAAAAAATTAAAGGAAGCGGCTTCCTGACCAATCACTTGTAACCACGAGTAAAGGCATTGGGTGTTTCTCAATGTCAAGGAACCTTGCCTTGATGTCTTGGCCCCGCCCCGGTTGCCTAGGAGATACGTCATCAGGAGCCGCCAAGACTTGTTCCAACGTTCACGTTCTACCGAGGCGTGTGTTCTCCGTTTGTTAGCCGTTTAGCTAGCTGAGCGAGGACACACGGGAGGTGTCTTGTAGCCTAGCCTTGGTCAAAAATTACCCACAATACACCGCGGTATTTCCAAAAGGACGGCGGATCAGAAGCCAGCAGCTACTTCTGGGACAATTTTCAAGTTTAAAAGTAAGTCAACTAATTAAAAAAAAATTTTTTTTAGATCCAAAGAAGTTATCTATGGTTGGTTAGTTGCTTAGTAGATGCAGCTTCGGTGGCCAGCGGGTAGTAACTCATTTATATATTTAATTTAATAAACATATACACAATTTAAAAAGTAAAAGGCTCGTTATAATTCAGGGCAATATGTCACAACAGCCTTAAGAGGGCATACATCTCAAAGTCACGTCCACCTCTTGGTAGATCAGACCACAATGTAATCTTACTACTACCAAAATACAGGTCACAATTGAAGATGGGAAGTGGTAACAAAAAATATCCAAGTTTGGAATGAGGATTCGAGAGAAGCATTAAGGGGCTGTTTTGGAATGGCCAATTGGGACCTACTTTTTAATGACAGTGGAAACAATCTGAATACGTTGACAGATGTAATGACCTCATATATTCTCTTTTGCGAAGAAATAGTCACCACTAAAAAAATACACCCAAACAACAAAAAGTGGATCACAAAAGGAACTTAAAATGTGCCTGGTGAAGAAGAAACGGGCCTTCCTTCAGAAGGACCATGAGCGTGTGAGGGTGCTGGAGAAAGACTTTAAGAGGAGAGCCATCCTTGCAAAAAGGAAGCAAACACTAAATGTGGAGCACCAACTCACATTTGGAATTGCTCGTAAGGCATGGCAGGGCCTGAACATCATAGGGAAGAGACCATGAGACCCCGCAAGTCAACTGCCATGACTCCATCTCGTTGGCAGAACAGCTGAACGTCTTATTTGCCCGCTTCAAAGGCGTTCGCCCTCTTTTATCTATCTATCTATCTATCTATCTAGAAACTAAAACGTATAAAATATAACGTTATCTCCTGTGTCACGTGATGTTGCGTGACCGCCGTGGAAGCCGCGGTCATGTGATGCAAGTCTATTCCATTTAACCGTTTTCTTTGACCAAGGAAGGACATGGCCTCACAAGGCCAGGTGCCTTGACACTGAGAAACACCCATCGCGTGTCTCCTCACCTCCGAGGCTTTAGGCAGCTGCCCCCATGACCCGACCACAGATAAGTGGAGGAAAATGGATGGATGGCACAACAACTAAATGTGAATAACATAGGGCTATTGATCAATATAGATAATTACTAAATAAATCTTTAAAAAATAGTAGAAAATATATTTGACGTGCAGCTGTTTTATTTTTTCTCCGCCTCTTCTCGCTGCGACATCTTGCTGCCTCGTGCTCTGTTTTGGTTTGAGAGGGGAGGGCCTGGTGAAGCAGCATGCCAGAGTCTGTGCTTTTGATTGGTGAGGAGTAAGTAGTGAGTCTAGTATGCTGCTACCTGATAGGTTATAATGAAAAAAGGACACTTTTTAATCCAAGTTTTATCGACCCATTTATTTTTTCTATCGTACCACAAATCTGTCGATAGACGTATTGAACTATTGAATTATCGTCCAGCCATAGAATAACATAACGTGAAGGTGGCGACATGCTTGACTCAGCTGTGCACTAACTATCAGTTAGCCTATCAGTCTTAAAGGACAGAGACTACTCCGCCAAACAGAGGTCAATCAGAAGGCTATACACAGAAACATCATTATAAAGAGGGAAAACTCCTGATGAATGGGAATAGCTGAACAAAATGAAACCGAATGCAAGTCAGACTCGCACGTACCTTAGTGTCCATTTCTTTACAGTCAATCTGGGACTGGACGATGTACATGGCAGAATCAACCAATCCTGTGCACTCCCTCATCTTCCTCCTTGCTTCCTTTCTCTCTGAACTCACATTTCTTAAAAAATAAAAACATTTTTTTTAAGTATTACAAACTGTTAACAGAATGAATGAGTCAGCTGAGGCTTTAAAGCTGCAGTAGCAAATCTACAGAACTAGCTAGTTTTGAATGCAAACACGGTCACAGAACTCTCCCCCTGGTATCTTCTGTGGATCCACATCCACCGGAAACCCGCATCACCAGAGGAAACGAGATAGCGCCAAACACCAGTCACAGTTTTCTAGGTCCAAACGTCTTTTGATGTCCGTGACTTGAAACAGTGATTTTGTTTTTGGGACTCTGGTAGTTTGTCCTAACGCTGAAGTGGTAGCAGCCGGCTGTTTCTCCTCCTCTGATGTTACTGAGCGGAGAACCTCTCACACCGGTGGTGTTCTGGTGCTCAATACGTGAGTGTGTGATGAGTGGAGGACCCGGGGAAGTGCGGCGGTTCCGAGAGACAGACAACCGCATGGTCCAATAGTTGGTTTTTGTTCTGAAATGTGTTATTGGAGATTTTTAGATAAAAGCGAGATCTTTTTTTTTTTTTTACTTTCAACGATAAATTCATGGCTCTATGTTAGAACGTTAACAGACATGAAAACGTTTCTTTGAGGTAATATATTTTCTAAATTTGCTATTGCAGCTTTAATAACAGAGAAAACAAACCTGTTATTGTGAAACAAATGACGTCACCTCACAACGATTCAGAAAATCCCCAAAAACTGTTTGATTTGTTCAATTTGTGAAGTAAGTTCCTTGTAGGGGGTGACTTGCTCTTTAAATACAAGTCAATAAATAAAATAAGATCATGTTACACCTCTGGATCTCTGAACCAATCATATTCGAAGACTAGCCTGAACCCGATGGAAAACTAACACGGACTCAGTTGAGTAAAGGAAGCAACAAGGAGGCGAAACTCTGTCCTTTTGACCCAGTGACAGAAACGCCTTTCTTAACAATACCGTGTGTGTGTGTGTGTGTGTGTGTGTGTGTGTGTGTGTGTGTGTTTGTTTGTTTAACTACTACCTGCATACTTTTGGGACGTTCATCAACAAGTTGCTGCAGGCAAACAATAATAAAATCAAGACTGCAGAGGAAAAGGAAAGCCCTCAAACCTACAGATAAGTCAGTTTTTTTTTTTTACTATTAATCTAAAGAATGAAAACACAGAAATGTTTAGTTGTAGCAAAAGGGTGAAAAATTATCCAGAGACCTTCCAGCTCTTCACTAACCTTTACGTGAAACAAAACGCTGAGTAAGCAATAAACACGTTTTATTTTTAACAGTAAATTCAAAACCTGCTGAATTTCAGTTAAATCTTTAAAAAATCTAAGCAAAATACATTTTCAATAACTTCTATATTGCTCCATCTACTGCTAAAATGACGTAAATCCACATCACTTATTTACTTAATCGATGTTTGAAATGCGAAGAAATATTTGTGCAGTTTTCCTTTAAAATTTTCCAGATCTTTCTGCTTTGTGACCAAATCAACTCCGCTTCAGTCATCTTGGGAAAATCAGATTTCAGGTTTATGACCTGCAGACCAATAAAACGAGTCCTAAAACAATTTTTGTGCATTTATTTTACGGCTCTTGCACAGATTTAAAGTCCGTAACATGCCGGAGATTAACGCTGAGGCTGAACAGAACTCCTCCAAACACCAAAACCTCCGACTTACTTTCCTCCAGAAGCAGATGAACACTAATTAACTGTGTGGTTGGAGGGAGCGCGCGGATGCCGTTTACACTGAACAAGTCAACGCCCGGCTGGTTTAAAACCCTGTTCTCACCACAGTTACATCTAAAACAATAAATGAGTTTACTCCTTAAAACGTTTCAGATTTGCAGAAATTGAACATTTATTCAAAGGTTATTTGGAAATTTTCCAAGTTTTATTCCATCAAAAAACAGCTAATCTTCGTAATCTGACCATAATGTCATTTTCCACTCAATTACACATATCTGGTCCGACTGCTCTGGTAATTACCTGGCTCTCGCTTCCTCCCTTTTAGAGCTCCGTCACTTTCTGTTACTGGTTCCCATCGACTTTCCCTCCTACATACATCCACCATCCCTCCATCTGCACTAGAAGCGTTCATACCTCAGACAGCCGGCTGTATTGGTGAGCGAATATTCCCACTCCAGATGCCTAGGCTTGCAGTTTTCCTCGCCGCCTCCTGCCCCGTTGGACCCTCGCTCCCAGCCTGAATGGGGCACCAGTACCTCGTCGCAGAGGGCGTGCAGCGCATGATCCACAATCTCCATCTTCACAGAGTCGTGGGACGACAGGTTCCACAACGTCCCTGGGAGAACCAGAATTTTACCTCATTCAGCCAAGTGCTGCTTTCAAACTAAACCCATGGAAAAGACGTAATTACACCGAAAACATTTTCAGTGAAAATATTTGGATATTTTGTCACTTTTTTCCTGCTGTAATAAAGAAGGCGGAATTATCTTCTTTGATGACGTTTCTAATGATCAACAACTCCCATTCTAATAGGGCTGCAGAATATATCGCAAATATATCGTTATCGCGATATCAGCATGTGCAATATGCATATCGCAAAGATCAGAAAAATATCGCAATGAATGGTCAGCTCAAATGTTTGCTACACATGACACGTTCTGTCAATCAAACAGAACTCTTCACCCATTTGGCCAATCGGGTGGGTTCTCATAGGTTAGAGGCCCGCCCCCGAGGTGGACGACACTTAATTTTGATGATTAGCAAACACCTGAGTTAGCTTTGTTCTGCTCTTTCTGCTTATCCCGGGGTCCACTGAGCGCCTTTTCGTGTTCATTTTCTTTTTCCCTTTCCTCACATCTTTTGCTTTTCAGATTTTTTTTTGTCATTTTTAAAATTTCTTTGTTTTTGATTATTTTTGTTCCTGAGTTAAGTTTTTATTTATCGCAAGTAATTTCGTCATCGCAATATTAATCACTGTTATCGAATATTGCAGGTTTTCCTAATATCGTGCAGCCCTACATTCTAATGAGCTAAATATTAATGAATAATTCTAACTTTTGTTTTGTGCAGCTATATTCAAGTCCACATCCTCCTGCATCACGTCCCAAACTACCTCCTTTTAAACCCCAAACAAACAGACAAAAGAGGAAAAACTGATTCTGCAGGTTGTTCAAAGCATCGACTACCAGAGCCTGTCCTGGTGGGGTTTCTGTGATGAAGTAAATTTTCTGGGCATCACTACCGTCACCTTATCGTGGTGGAGGAGTTTGAGTGCCCTAATGATCCTAGGAGCTATGTTGTCTGGGGCACTTAGTGCCCCTGGTAGGGTCTCCCATGACAAATTGGTCTTAGGTGAAGGGTGAGACAAAGAACGGTTCGAAGGATCTTTCATGGCGGTTAAAACAAAGAGTCGGAGTACCCGGCCCGGAGGGTTACCGGGGTCCCACCCTGGAGCCAGGCCTGGGGTTGGGGCCCGTGAGCGAGCGCCTGGTGGCCGGGCTTTCGCCCATGGGGCCCGGCCGGGCCCAGCCCGAACCGGATACATGGGCTCGTCCAACTGTGGACCCACCACCCGCAGGAGGAACATGAAGGGTCCGGTGCAATGCGAATCGGGTGGCAGACCAAGGCGGGAGCCTTGGCGGTCCAATCCCCGGACAAGAAAACTAGTTTTTGGGACATGGAACGTCACCTCGCTGGCGGGGAAGGAGCCGGAGCTTGTGGCAGAGGTTGAGCGGTACCGGCTAGATATAGTCGGACTCACCTCGACACATTGCATTGGCTCTGGAACCCGAGACCTGGAGAGGGGTTGGACACTCTACTTTGCTGGAGTTGCTCCGGGTGAGAGGCGGAGGGCTGGGGTTGGCTTTTTGTTAGCCCCGAGACTCTCTGCCTGTGTGTTGGGGTTTACACCGGGGGACAAGAGGGTAGCTTCCTTGCGCCTTCGGGTCGGGGAACGGGTCCTGACTGTTGTTTGTGCTTATGGGCCAAATATCAGTTCAGAGTACCCACCCTTTTTGGAGTCCCTGGGACGAGTGCTAGATAGTGCTCCATCAGGGGACTCCATTGTCCTGCTGGGGGACTTCAATGCTCACGTGGGCAATGACAGCTTGACCTGGAGGGGTGTGATTGGGAGGAACGGCCCACCTAATCTGAACTCGAGCGGTGTTTTGTTATTGGACTTCTGTGCAAGCCGCAGTTTGGCCATAACGAACACCATGTTCGAACATAAGGATGCCCACCGGTACACTTGGTACCAGGGCAGCCTAGGTCACAGGTCGATGATAGATTTTGTAGTCGTATCATCTGACCTGCGGCCGTATGTTTTGGACACCCGAGTGAAGAGAGGGGCGGAGCTGTCAACTGATCACCACCTGGTGGTGAGTTGGATCAGATGGCAAGGGAACATGCCGCGTAGACCTGGCAGACCCAAACGCATAGTGAGGGTCTGCTGGGAACGCCTGGCAGAAGAACCTGTCAAGACGGTCTTCAACTCCCACCTCCGGCAGAGCTTTGACCACGTCCCGAGAGCAGTGGGGGACATTGAGTCCGAGTGGGCCTTGTTCCACTCTGCGATTGTCGAGGCGGCTGTTGCTAGCTGTGGTCGTAAGGTGGCCGGTGCCAGTCGTGGTGGCAACCCCCGTACCCGCTGGTGGACACCAGAGGTTCGGGGAGCCGTCAGGCTGAAGAAGGAGGCCTACAGGGCGTGGTTGGTCTGTGGGTCTCCGGAGGCAGCAGACAGGTACCGGATAGCCAAGCGGGGTGCAGCAGTGGCAGTTGCCGAGGCAAAATCTCGGGCGTGGGAGGAGTTTGGTGAGGCCATGGAGAAAGACTATCGATCGGCTCCAAAGAGGTTCTGGCAAACTGTCCGGCGCCTCAGGAGAGGAAGGCAGCAACTCGCTCACACTGTTTACAGTGGGCATGGGGAGCTGCTGACGTCAACTGAGGCTATAGTCGGACGGTGGAAGGAATACTTTGAGGAGCTCCTCAATCCCACCAATGCGCATTCCGAGGAGGAACCAGAGCTGGGAGGCCTGGGGATGGACTGTCTGATCTCAGGGGCAGAAGTTGCTGAGGTAGTCAAACAACTACACAGCGGCGGAGCCCCGGGGGCGGATGAGGTTCATCCTGGGTATCTCAAGGCTATGGATGTTGTAGGGCTGTCATGGTTGACACGTCTCGACAACATTGCGTGGTCATCGGGGGCAGTTCCTAGGGAGTGGCAGACCGGGGTGGTGGTCCCCATCTTTAAGAAGGGTGACCTGAGGGTGTGTTCCAACTATAGGGGGATCACACTCCTCAGCCTCCCTGGAAAGGTCTACGCCAAGGTACTGGAGAGGAGGGTCCGAGCGATAGTTGAATCTCAGATAGAGGAGGAGCAATGTGGTTTTCGTCCTGGCCGTGGAACTGTGGACCAGCTCTATACCCTTGCAAGGGTGATGGAGGGGGCATGGGAGTTTGCCCAACCAATCCACATGTGCTTTGTGGATTTGGAGAAGGCTTATGACCGTGTCCCCAGGGGCACCCTGTGGGGGACGCTCCAGGAGTATGGGGTGGGTGGCTTTCTGTTAAGGGCCATTCAGTCCCTTTACCAGAGGAGCGTGAGTTTGGTCCGCATAGCCGGTAGTAAGTCGGACCTGTTCCCAGTGAGGGTTGGACTCCACCAGGGCTGCCCTTTGTCACCGGTTCTGTTCATCACTTTTATGAACAGAATTTCTAGACGCAGCCGTGGTGTGGAGTGTGTCGAGTTTGGTGGCAGGAGAATCTCGTCTCTGCTTTTTGCGGATGATGTGGTCCTCCTAGCTTCATCCAGCTCTGACCTTCAGCTCTTGCTGGGTAGGTTCGCAGCCGAATGTGAAGCGGCTGGGATGAGGATCAGCACCTCCAAATCTGAGACCATGGTTCTCGACCGGAAAAGGGTGGCTTGCCATCTCCGGGTCGGGGGAGAGGTCCTACCTCAAGTGGAGGAGTTTAAGTATCTCGGGGTCTTGTTCACGAGTGAGGGTAGGAGGGATCGGGAGATCGACAGGCGGATTGGTTCGGCGTCTGCATTGATGCGGACGCTGAGCCGATCTGTCGTGGGGAAGAGGGAGCTGAGCCAGAAAGCCAGGCTCTCGATTTACCGGTCGATCTACGTCCCAATCCTCACCTATGGTCATGAGCTTTGGGTAATGACCGAAAGAACGAGATCGCGGATACAAGCGGCCGAAATGAGTTTCCTCCGTAGGGTGGCCGGGCTCAGCCTTAGAGATAGGGTGAGGAGCTCGGACATTCGGGAGGGACTCGGAGTAGAACCGCTGCTCCTCCGGATCGAAAGGAGCCAGTTGAGGTGGTTTGGGCATCTGGTCAGGATGCCTCCTGGACGCCTCCCCGGGGAGGTGTTTCGGGCATGTCCTGCCGGCAGAAGGCCCCCGGGTCGACCCAGGACACGTTGGAGAGGTTACATCTCCAATCTGGTCCGGGAACGCCTTGGGGTCCTGCCGGAGGAGCTGGTGGACAAGGCCGGGGAGAGGACGGCCTGGAGCTCCCTAATTGGGATGCTGCCCCCGCGACCCGGACCCGGATAAGCGGAGGAAGACGAAGACGAAGATCACTAATCCAGATTTCTGATCCTCTACAGTTAACCAGTCCTGGAGCCAGTAGACATGCTGAAGTGTTATAATGGGAGGGAAAACTCCTGAGGTTGGGTCCCAAAAGCAGCAGGTCCAGGAGGGAAACCTGACCCCTCCCCCGAACCAGCTCCTAGTTACAACACCTCCAACGAGTTCTGAGTCCGCACTAGGATCCTCTGTTTGTAAAAGATGCTGAAAGGCCAAGTTCACAGAGAAATGATTACTTTTGAAATATGGACATGTCACTTTGCAGGTTGAAAGTGAAAATGGTCTTCTACCCCATCTCCTGCATTAGCCGCCGATAGAAAACAGAAGGTGAAGCCTGACATTTGCACATCATAATGTTAGCATTCATGGACTCGCTTATCTTAGTTTGTGATGAGGAAGGCTGATGTTGTTTAGAGTCCAGAAAACAGCAGAGCACATCTCAGCTAGTAGAAGCTAACCATTAGCATTAGCAACTCCAACACACAGCAGCACTCCTCCTGCCTTGTGTTATTTGTGGAGATTAAACATCAACATTGCAAATGGAGCCAGTGGTAGAGTCCTGTTGCTGCTGGCCAATCAGAGGAGAGATGTCTGAATATCAAATCCTGACGTTTTCTGCCCACCTCTGCTCTGGGCTAACTTCTACTTCCTGAAACAAAAGCGCCAGAGATCGACTCACAAGCCGTTCATTTATACTAGAGACCACTGCAGATGTTTAAAGAGCAAGTCACCCCCAAACCAACTTTTTTTTTCCTGATAAACTATATAAATGCATGTCTAATCATGCTGCAGACACGTGTAGTCAGTAGTTTTGCACTTTAGTGCATTTTAGTTAAAATTTTAATTTTCTGCCTAAAACTGTCAGTGTTGTGCCGTTGTCAGGTAAAAACTCTGCACTGCATTTGAATTTAAATCTGTCATCGCTATTGGCTAAGAGGTACCCTAGAACGTTAGCTGGTACCATATGATGTCACAATGTCATTGTGAGCCTGTGTGTGTGTGTATTGGTTAGCAGTTCCGCCCTCTCGGTGTGCTAGGCAACAGCATTTGTTGCATTTTTCAAACAGGAAGTGGGAGTGGAGTAATACTCTGGTAGGGGGTGACTTGCTCTTGTGAACTCGGTCTTCTCAACAAGTGAACTTTAGGCAACCCAATCAGATGCTAGACAACCTCAGATGACAAGAAGCTGGCGGAGGATTTTCCTCGAGAATTAGGAAGCCAACGCTGCAAACATTTAGAGCTCTTAACTGCAATCCTTCCATATTTTTGACAAATACCAAGACTTTAACCAAGACGTCAGCATAAACATCAGCCTATAACCACGTAGAGCGTCTAACCTGTGATGATGTCTGTGAGTTCCTGGTCTCGGGCCTTCCTCAGCAGCCGGATGAGGGCAGTAACTCCATCACAGTTCTTAATGGCAACTTTATTGTCTGGATCTTTGCCAAAAGAAATGTTCTTCAGAGCTCCACAAGCTGCGGCGTGAACCTGCAACAGGGACCCGGTGACAGCTTTATGAGTCATTAGTCGTCATTAAGTGTCTCATAAAGGAAGTAATGATTTCACATTACAAGCACAGCGGAAAGAAACCGGCTCGTGTTACAGTTTGGTGGAAGTTCTCAATGAAGAGGTCACTTTCATTATTAGTATATTACCAAGGTTCATTTTTAACAAACAAAGAAATGTCTGATTCTGCAGGTTCATGATCATACAACCCCAGATTTATTGAACACAGATGCACGTTCCTTCAGTGTAACTGATAAAGACTTTATGGAGTCTTTATGTAGTGTTTTCTAAGATGCATCAGATCTTCAGCCTGGCCTGCCAGACTCTCCCTGTGTCTATTCTGCACAGAGGACGAGTCAGAGGCAGAGAGCACCAAGAGGGGCAGGACTAGGGCTGTCGCGGTAACCGCAAAAATGAAATATCGCAATATGAAGAAGCCCACCGCGCTGCATCATGGGCCACCGCGATTACTGAACTTGGTTCAACTCAATGATGCATGTTGAGAAGGATGGCTGCACTGGTATCAAAACGAAACGTATACTTCGCTCCTTTGGGAGCACTTTGGTTTTCAGTACGTCAGCTGCTGCGCAGCCAGATTCCTTGGCCGAGACAGAGCTGCAGCGGCAAAAATAAATAAATAAATAAATAAACGCTCGGAGACCTGCTGAAGTCCCGGACAAGCACTGCTTCTGCAGCCGTCCTGAAGAGAGTTTGAGCCGAGCTGGAGCTCACTCGCTACCTGCAGGAGGAATGCATCCACCCTAAAGAAACCCCCCTGACATGGTGGAGCAACAACCGGGAGAGATTCCCTTTGCTCGCCAGAGTCGCACGCAAGTACGTGTGCGTTAGTGCAACGAGCGCACCATCCGAGAGGGTTTTCAGTGTTGCTGGAAATGTTACCACCCCTCTCAGATCCTCTCTCAAACCGTATATGGTTAACATGCTGGTTTTCCTTGTGAGTAACAAGGACGTGACCGAGCTATAAATCACCGTCATTCGTGTGTGTGAAAGTGAAATGATAGTGCCCCCCCCCCCCCCCCCCCCCCGGCGCGCGCTACATGTAATTTTTTATGCTTGATTTTAAACAACTAAACAAAATGGGGACTTGTTTCTTATTTGTTAGATGCTGCAGCCAAATTTGCATTTAAAAGTTTAACCTTCTCCTGAATTTTGTTGTTTTTAAGTTCAGTCGGACTCTGACTGTCGGAGAAACAAACGTTACTGCGATCTGTGTCGTTACTGCCCTTTGATCTGCATTCAGTAAAGTGTTATAAAAGAAGGCATGGCAATTTTTAACCTTTTTTAAATGTGTAAACATTATGTTTAGATAGTACTGCAATAAAAAAGGACTGCAATAATATCGCACACCGCAATATTAAGCCACCCTCAATCACCGCAGGAGGAATTCCTCAACCGCGACAGCCCTAGGCAGGACTCAAAAATAACCAATCAGAAAAAAAGGGCAGGAATGACGACTGTATAGCAGGACACTGTAGATTTTTAGCTGTAGTCAGTAATGGCCTCTGGGGACAGTGCAAACATCCTTCTTAAGAAGAAAGTAGGGCTGCAACAACTAGGGCCCGGCCGACATTATCAGCCGATATTGGGGTCATTATCAGTATCGGCTATCGGCCAAAAAGATGGCCGATATGGCAGATATTGCGCTACCTATCCAGCAGATGGCGCCAGCTTAATGAACTCATGTTGTGTGGCTCCACTCCGTTGAACTTTAAACACAAATTATTGTTTTGGAACTTTTTTTAAAATTTATTCTTATTTATGTTTCTTATGTGCAATTATTTCCTGTCCAGGGTGAATAAGTTCACCAAGTTAACTTCCACAGAGAGTTACTTTGTTACAAAGCACAAGTATTACGTTTTATTTATTGCTGCATTTTTATTATTTTAATATTCTTACAGCGATCTTCTGTCCCTAAACTTGTGTGTGTAGTTAGATTCCCTAGAGTTAGCCAAGTCAGAAAAACATGTTGTAACCAGTTGTTTTAGCATAAAGCAATGGAAGGGAAGGCTTGCATTCACCTACATATAAAACACTACAACGTTTGTGAATTCACTTACATTGTTTTATGCTAAACTAAGAAAACCAACTGCTGCCAGATCATATTGGGCTGGTTATAAAATGCTTATTCTGACTTGTCTAACTCTGGGGAATCTTAACAAGACCAACTTTACTGAGTGGTGGAATATTACTAATTTCCCTCTGGGATTAATAAAGTATATTTGATTGATTGATTCCTTTAAGTTAAAATGTATTTATGGAAACCACAGTTTACAAGAAAAAACTTGAATGTTGGACTTATGCTGCGACTGAGTTTGTGTGTGCTGTTGTTTTTGAGATCTGCTAAATAAATCTTATTTATTCTTCCTCAGGCACTCGAGGAGTACAGACGCTTCTCTCTTTCGCTCCCTTGTCTTTTTTTCCCAAGGCTCTTTGTCCTGTCTGCCCACAGAGCGCTTCTCTGCATTTCTTCTGAAAAACTCTAGTTTTACTAACCATGGATTTGATAAACTGGTCATTCAACGCGATTGATAAGATTTTTTCAACAATGAGAATGGAGCAGGGGGCTCCCACATGTCCACAGGGGACACACCCGGTGGGATATATGTTGGATTCCTGGAAGATCATATGCCTCAGCCAGCTGTCCATTGAGGACATCGAAGACGTGTGGATATTTGGCCTGATGATCACTGGATTTCTCCTGACTGGAGTGGGAGGATATCTGGTTTTCAGGAAATTTGGGAAGACGGGAGCGATTGGAGGGCGACCCGCACCCACGGAAAGCACCGCCCGTGTGGAGATCTCACAGACTGGGACGTTACTCGAGGTGAATCGTAAGTTGGACAATGTTCTAGATGCGATACCGGTATTAGTGCACAAAATGGATGTCATCTCGGAGAGAGTCACCGGACGGTATGGACAAGCTTAAAAACCCAAAATTGGCTTCACTGAAGGACTGGAAATGATCAGTTTAAAGACTGAAGGCAGAGAGGAAAATTATCTCAGCCTGACCCAAACAAATTCTTGTTATCCGAATGTGACGCCCTGGTAGCCTTGAGCTGCAGGCAAATAAAAACCGCACGAAGAAATGCAGACAGATGCTGTAACCCCCCCCTCGGATTGGTGGACTTCAGCCGGGCGAGGTCATCAATCTGTAGGAGTCAATGTACTCTTTGCTTCTCCCAAGATCTCCCTCCCACCTGTGACTGTTCAGTAGATGAGCGCCTTAGATGGCTGCTCTCGCTGGGGGAAAACAGGACCCCCCCCCCCCCCCAAATAGCACTGGTGCGACTTTTTTTCAAGTGACTTTTTCCCCAGACCTTTATTGAACCAAGGTAAGTTGCTTGTTATTTTGTAAGGAAGATGCTTTTTACGGGCACACAGTGTGCTAATCTAGGTGTTGTGGAGGAAAACTGAGAAAACAGCAAAGACAAAAAGGCAGAAACGGTCCAAGGTTTGGGATCAAAATTGCAACTATAGGCAGATTAGCTAATGCTAGCCCGTAGCAGGCTAACGATCAAGAGGAGTTCCGAAAAAACACGATGGTTTTGAAACTATGACTCTACAAGCGAAAGAAAAGTCCTCGACATCCTGTTTATTCTCAGCTGTCTGCAGAGCTATGGAGCAGAACCGCTTCAGTCAGGTTGCTGCTTCAGCACCGCAGCAGGATTATGGCAAGCCACTGTAGCATTTAATTCACAAATGTGTCCATCGGTGAACATAATTTCAACTGGATTAATGCTAATATGTACATAATAGATGTCACCAATACATTTTTTGCAGTGGAAATTAAATGTTATTAGTATTTCCAGTAGCTTACTACTGAACGTGTTAATAAAATACATGAAATTTTACTGATCATCATTTAATTGTGGATATATTTAGGTGACAGCGTGTTGTTTTGCACGCTGTTGAACTGTTTTCTAATCATGTTCTGTTGTTACAGTAAAGGAAGGAGAGAAAAAATGTTTCTCTAGCAGTTTTTTAATTTTCCCGTTTAATCAGACTAATCGATTAATCGAGTCGAGACCCTATCCGATTAATCAATGATCCAAATAATCGTTTGTTACAGCCCTAGAAAAGGCTTTTAACGCTTCTTATTGTTGTGGATTTAAAGACGTGTCAAAGTAAATGGTAAATGGCCTGTATTCGATATAGCACCTTCTACAGTCCTGGAACCCCCCAAGGCACTTTACAAAACAATCAGTCATTCACCCATTCACACACTGGTGGGGATGAGCTACGATGTACAGTAGCCACAGCTGCCCTGGGGCGCACTGACAGAGGCAAGGCTGCGGAGCACAGACCCCACCGGTCCCTCTGACCACCACCAGCAGGCAAGGTGGGTTAAGTGTCTTGCCCAAGGACACAGCGACAGACTGAGCGGGGCTCGAACCTGCAACCTTCCGATTACGGGGCGAGCAGTTAGCTCCTGTGCCACCGTCGCCAACAGCAGTCACTTAGAACAGAGCAAAGAGCTGCAGCAAACTCCACTTCAGACGCAGTCTTCGTTGTTTATGAGAAACTGAGCGTCATGGCGTGCGATGTTCGCCGTTCAGCGCCGATTGGCTTGGTAAGAATTTTCAGGGGGTGGGGTTATTTGAATGGGAGCCTTACTAGGCCCCTTGCTTCCCACGAGGAAGTGGACAGTTGAATATTAACGACATCCTTTAATACTGTCCGAAGAAAATCAAAATCCTTGAACATATTGGCCGACCTGTTTCCTCTCTTAAATTGCCAAAATAAAACCCTGAAATCCACAAACTGAAGACTGTCTGAAAGTTTGCGTAAGTCCGTGACACGGTCTCTGATTTCTTCTGAGCATTCTATTGATCTGCACACCGGAAGCTTTCAGCAGCTGTTTTATAAACAAGAATTCTCGTTTGTCACAATAAAAATATGTATAACATGTAAATGCCAGATGTAACTAAAAACTCACAGGTAAATAGAAAGAAATTTGAAGTCCACGAGGATAAGAACATAATTTTATAACGCACCTCTCTAGATAAAAATCACAAATTGCTTCACGAGCAAATAAAAAAAATAAAAATAAAAAGTGAAAAAAATGGTAGAAAATTAATAGCTTTAAATGTTTGTATGGTATGGTTTATGACTATATTGCTAATTATGTGTTAAACCTTAATTTGAATGAAATCATGACTCAAACTGAAATCACAATTTCTTCTAGAAAAATCGCAATTCAACCTTTTCCTAAAATTGTTCAGCCCTATTCTAAACCATTTTCCACATTGTTGCCTTAACCCTTATATAACCCTTTAATTTTCTAACGTTTTTGTCCTTTGAACACAAAAAATGCACTACAGTCGCATAAGGGTTAATATAAAAATTACACCGCCCAGCCAAAAGATTCAACTAAGCAAACAGGTAGGCGCCTCCTACTGGATAATTACTGCATGGGCGATTATCTTTCAGCTGGAACAAGTTATTTAACCCCAAGATGACAATCAGACAGCGAGAGAGTGGTTCAGGGAGCATGAGACATCGTTTTCACACATGGATCGGCCACCACAGAGTCCAGACCATAACCCAATAGAGAATCTTTGGGATGTGCTGGAGAAGGCTTTGTGCAGCGGTCAGACTCCACCATCACCAATGCAAGATCTTGGTGAAACATTAATGCAACATGGATGGAGATAAATCTGGTAACGTTGCTGAGGCAACGCCACAAAGAATGTGCGTCATAATCAAAGCCAAAGGCGGTCTATCGAAATATTAGCGTGTGTCCTTTTCTTTTGGTGGTGAATTGTAATTACATTGCAATAAACGAATAAAGCAGTTAATTGTAAATGAAAAACTATAAAGATGAGCCTTAACCGGACCTCTCTGTTAGGGTTGTCGAGCATCTCCACCAGCGCAGGAATGCCTTTCATTCGACGAACGTCAGTCTTCACCTACGAATCAAAAGGATGGATTTTAGTCACGATAATAGTGGTCAACTCTTATTTATAATAGATCAGCACTAAAACATCAAACATCAAAACCGCTCAATATCATAGAAAATAACGGAGTTGTGGTCATTTCAGTGTTTGCCAACGTCCGTCCGCTGGGGTGGTCATCTTCAATCAGGTTGATTTGTAAAGTTAATCAGTTATAGGTTTACATCCAACGATGGTTTCATTAAAATACCTCCAGAAGTTTCTGACATCATTAAAAAAGTCTTAAAGTTCATTATTAAAATGACAAAAACAGATAAAGTGGCACCATAAGCCATAAAAGTTACAACACACTTGTTTCTACCTAAATGAAAAGTTCTTAATTGTAAAATTAAGATTATTTTTTATCTATGTTCTAAAATAAAAATAGTAATAAACCACAGTCTTAATCCATAATCTGTGTATAAAGTTACTAATTTAGCACAAATTAGGTTAAAATGAACCATTTAAATGAACTGCAACACACTAAATTAGAGGCTGATAATAGGGGCTGCATGACTTTTTTTTTTTTAAAGTCGACAGTCAAGAAATGAAAATTGATTCGACTAACTAGTCGTTGATGACGTCATACACCTGAAGCGGGTTGGTTAGCTGGAGTCTAAGTTAAGCATCTCTTTTAACAACGGTAGTTTCTGCATCTATACTGCTCCGCTTCAGTCCTCTCCCCCCTCCCCCTGCTTCAGCCCTCTCCCCCTCCCCCTGCTTCAGCCACCCCCACCCCCCCACCCCCCGCCCCCACCCACCCCCACCCCCTGCTTCAGCCCTCTCCCCCCTCCCCCTGCGCAGCGGCCGCAAACTCACTGATGCGCCTGCAGCCTCTCGGAGTTCCTGCTGCTCTAAACATTAAAATAATTATTTCATTTTCTGTTCCTCACTTCTGATTACCTTCAATGGTGTCTGTTTGTTGCAACCACCAGGTACAAAAACTAACTTGTTTTTATTTGACTATTTTTCTTTCCTGCCTGTTTATTATCTTCCTGCATCCCCTCTCAATCCTAAAGAAAAACTGCTACCTGGGTTCATATATATTCACCTCATGAGTTACCTTTGAACTGCAGTTCTAAAAGATCTACCGACCACAAAAACAGCAGAGTGCTCGCCAGCCACATCAGTGAGGTGTGTCACCGGAGGACAAAACAGGTGATGCGCCCCGATCCACAGCAGCGAAACGCACCAGGCACAAATAAAAGACAGAAAACATGAAAGCAAATGAGCCGACATGAATGATCGCGTGTTAAATTAGTTTTTGAGGTGGCGACACCTGATTTGATGATGTTACTGTGGCCGTGCTCAGGACGCAGATGTCTGGAGCGCGTCAACGATCAGAGCTTTGCATGCACAAGCTGGGTAAGGTTAGGATGGGGGTGAGGGGAAGGTTAAATTGCAAGAGGGTAAAGGTCGCAATTCGGTCAAATGTCCGTTTTACGACGGGTGTCAGTACCGACGCTCTGGCACAGCGTGTCGCCTCCTTACGCGCAGGGGCTCGTCACCTGCTGTCTTTTCCGAGGACTCCATCTTATCGGTCATTATCACGTGACAGCAACTAGTCGATGACAAGCATAAAAAGTCACTATAGAGCCGTGAAGTCGACTAGTCGATACAACCCCTAGTTGATACCAAAGAAAAGTAATAAACCTGATAAATCAGCTGACATGGCTTTTAGACGTACTAATCTGCATACTGCTTGACTCGGATAAGACAAAAACACACGAGCAGAACCTAAAGAAGCAAAACCGCTCTACTTCTCCTCTGAGGATGAACCTCACCTTGTCGTTCTTATAGGTGAGATGCTGCAGGTACGCAGCTGCATTGCTCCTGACGGGGTCAAGCCTGTAGTTCAGCATGGCGATGACCTCTGGCAGCTCCGGCTGACGCCAACCACCAGGAGGGACGCCTTTCCTCAGAGTGCTGTCCAGTGACGCCATGCTGCCCCTCTCCCCTTGAGCCAGCGGTGCCCCCCTGTTCCAGTAGTACATGTCTCCCCCTGAGTCCAAAAGGCCTTCGTAACTCCTGAGGAGAGAAATAAACAGATTTATACATTTTTATGTAATGTTTGTGAACAGACATGTTTTTGCTGCTACAGACTTACCCGGTCCTGCGCGGGGGCCCTTGAGGGAAACCACCATGGTTTCGAGGCACGGTGCTGTAGTGTACCGGGTTACTCATGCCATAGTCGGGCTCATCAAAGCCAATGCTGCGCTGATCGTCCTCCAGACCGTACGGGTCAGGGACAAACCTCTGGATGGTGGACATCTCTGAACGTCCAACCTATATAACGACAAAAGGATTACGAGTCATCAAAATTAAAACAAACGACTGAAAGAGAAATTCAAACATAAAATCACTGCTGTAGCAGGATAAACTTGAAAGATTAGCGGCACGGCCTGAACGGCATCCTGTTAAAACATGCCCTGGTCAATGATTGCAAAACACACTTGTGGTTGAGCAGCATACGGGTCCAACTGATTCCTGCTGGGGGCTCTGTAGCTGGGATCCAGAGTTCTGTAGCCATCCGGATGGACCGGTCTGACAAGAGGAAGGGCCAAGAGGTGAGGAGGACAACAGGGAGTTACTGAATTAAACACTCGGCAAACACGGTACCTGTATGCATCATCCATACGAGCGCCCCTGTTCAGGCTTGTGTACATCTCAGACGGAGGTCCAGAGCGGTAGTTGTCATAGCCTGCTGGCGGCCCATAGTGGTAGTTGCGGGGCACCGTGTGGGTTGGGTAATCCATTGGCACGCCAACTCCAGGGACCTGCCTGTAGGGCCCCACACCTGTCACAGACCCTCCACCATCCATGGACAGCGTGTCAGATATGGAGGGAATGACTGTACGAGTTGTGGTGGTCTTTATTAC